TTCTCATATTTTGTAGCTATTCACGTATTTGTTCAGCATACATTTACTGAGCTGCTCTGGTGAAACAGGCACTTTTATAGGCCTTGTTAAAAGAGTTCATGGTTCAGATGAGGATATAAACAAGGAAATGGTTAAGACACATTGTGACACATGCTATTATGAGCAGGGGCAAATAGGAGGAGGAGGAGGAAGAAGAGGAGGAGGAAAAGGCTAAGAACAAGACTGAAAAGGTAAGCTAAACTGAGGGGAAACCACTTGGAGGTTGCAAATGTTAGAGGGCAAGGTGACTGTCACTGCTGGACAGAGGATGTGTCTGTAGGCAGTAGCTAAGGGTAGAGATGTTGCCAGGACCTGAGTCAAAGGTTAATAGTTCCTTTGCATCCATTTCCCCTTCATCTCAGAAAGCCTTTTCCCATTGTCCTGTCCAATTTAAGACAATAATAATGATAAATCTTCATGTCAGAAAGCAACAAACCAAATACTTGCTGAGGCATCCACTATGAGCCACGTATTATTCTAGGTGCTTGGGCTACATCAATAAAACTCCTGCTGTCCATGTGCTTAAAGTTTAGTAGGTGGAAGTACACAATCAATGATAAACAACAAACTGTAATAAAAAATACTTCAATTTATGGTGAGAATACAGTCATTAGAGGGAGAAAAAGGGCAGTGGAAAAGGAAAAGGAGGTTGGAGTGATGGGGGCTGAAAGAGGATGGAATATTAATGAACAAAAATGTGAAAAGGGAGTTAGCCAAGTATCACAGTGAATGGCAGGGATAGTTCAAGGGAAGTATGGCACTAGTAACTGGCAGATGAGGTTAGGGTTCAAGTAGCACTTGATCTAGGGTGTTTTGACCTGTGTGGTGCTGAGTGGTGTTGGATGCTTGTTTTCTGCCCATGTAGTACTGGAGATTGATGCTGTAATAAAACACCATAACCAAGGCAACTTAAGGAACACTTTATGTGGGCTTATGTTGGGGGTGGGGAGAAGTCAGTAATAATGGGGAAATACAGTGGGGAGCAGCAGGCATGGTGTCAGGAGCCAGAAGCTGAGATTACAGTTTTTATAGAATACACAAAGCAGGGGTGGGGTCAGGCCAGTGGAGCACACAGACTGAAAGCAGGGTGAGACTATAGTCCCAAAGCTGCCCCCAGTGACACACTTCCTCCAGCAAGGTTGCACATCCTAAGCCTCCACCAACTGGGGAGGATAAGCTTATGTGCCTTCAACACCACAAACCCACTTCTGGTACCAATTCTGTTTTAGTTGTGTCTCTGTTACTGTGATAACAATAACTGACCAAAAGCAACTTTCAGGAAAAAAAAAAAAGGTTTATTTGCTTTATGAGTTACAGGTTACAGTCATCAGGGGAGGCTAAGGCAGGAAATGATGGCACCATGGAGGCAGGAACTGAGGAAGTTATGGAAGTTACTATGGAGGACTGCTGCTTACTGGTTTCCCCTGCTTGCTTTCTTGTGAACCACAGGTCTCCCTCGGGGGCAGCATTGCCCATCATGTGCTGGGTCCTCAGTCCTGAATCAATGCCCCCCTCTATAGTCTAATGAGAGGGGAGCATCTCTTCTCCAAAGGGGACTCTGGTTTGTGTCAAGTTGATAAAGCTCAACCAGAACACTGGCCAAGTGCCCCACTACCAAGCTACACACACACACACACACACACACACACACACACACACACACACACAGCCCAGGGTGCTTGTTCTCTCTGCAGATTGCAAGGACAGAGGCAGCTGTACCTGTCAGGACAAACTGTAGAGTGACAATCATTTATCTGGAGGAAGCAGCAGTGTAGAAATGACTCCAAGTCCTGTGAAGTATCCAGATTTTGTAGCACAATACAAAGGCCGTGATACATTGTAAGAATGTTATTATTTCATAGTTTTATACTTCAGGAATATCTCCTATCACCCAGTAGATTATAAATAGTCCTTATAATTATGTAAAAGGAAAGTTTGAAGGGATCATAAGCCTACAAGAACCCAAATTCAGTAATAAAGGACAGTTACTTCTCAAGTTAAGGAAAAACATTGTATTTTGAGTCTATTACGAATCTATTCACCTACTAAAGGACATGTCCAAGTAAAATAAAATTCCATACATGACAGTAAGAGATGACTAACACTTCAAGTAATACAAAACCTGAACAAAACAAATATTTCTAAGATCCATATTTTAGAAAAGCAAAGCCTTGTAGGGATACTTTATTTCATTATGAGCATAGCAATCCTATCTTAAATTGGGTGAATATTTTTAAAGTAGATCACCTAGGCTACAGCCCATTTTAAAGTTCTAGATGATATATATGCACACACACACACACACACACACTGTGTGATACAAAAATAGTGACAATTTTCAATTTTTTACTATATAAAGGTACATGGCTAATGACAGATGATTTTATGTAGTTCTAAGAAAAAAATCAGTTGTAGGAAGTAAAAGACTGAAACAAAACAAAAAACACAGCAGCAACAACACAACGCCCCAATAGAAAATCTGAGGCAGCCCACTCAGGAAGATGTCAGCTGTGGTGGAGATTCAGGTTCATGTCCACTATGTGTCAAGTGCTGGTATTGCCTCATCTAGGGGATTGTGGCTGTGTGTTTGTGCATGTGCATGGGGGTGCCAGGGACACACAGACCTCAGAATGCTATATGACTGGCAGAAAGTAATGTAGGTCCCAGAAGGTGACCCTCTGCTGTAAATGAACTACTTTTTTCTAGTCTGAAGAAGTGCTTTCCAGTTCTTCACATTTTATGAATTTGAAATAACTAAGCTATTTTAACCTCAGAATCTTCGGACTCAGCAGTGTGTGCATATTCTGGTTTCTGATCCTGTTGTGACGACGTTGGCTAGGATTCGGAGGATGTAATTTTTGAAAATGGAAGCAAAAATAAGGTGGCACATTATTATTTATAGTGCTAGCATCATGATTAAAGGACAGTTTATGGTGGGTTGGTGGCTGGTGTTTCCTAGGTTAAAGCTCACACTGGGGACAGTCATTGCCTGAGAGCAGGAGTCTATCTATAATGACATTTAACATTTGAATTGTAGGTAAGCGATTAGATTTTATTCACAAGTGTTTCCTTTTGCTTGTTCTCTTGTTTTCTTTCTTCCCCATTATCTTAGAATGTATAGCTTTCAACCTTTGTTAGATATTAGTCGGTTGGGGTACTTTCAAAACTTGCCCACGACTAAGGATTCAGTTCTAGAAAGGGACTCATTTGCTCCAGGATTGGGCTGTTATGTTTAAAAGTGATTCATGTAATTTTCATGTGGTAAGGTTGGAAACCATGATAGTTTTACATTGCACTAAGTTCATCTACATTCTGGTTCCAATTCTACCGTATTTATAAATCTCCCGATGTTGGTGTTCCGTTTCCTTTATGATGAGCTTGGGTTAACATATAAATCAACTGTGATACGCATCTCATCTGGTTTGCCCAGCTCCAAAGCAGGGACAGCTACTTTGGTTTATGGATCTGGTTGAAAACGAGTGGGTGATAGCAGTAATCGGCAGCAATGACGATGACAATATGAAACTTTTCCATTTCTTCTTTCCAGCTACAAAGCACGGAGAAAAACAATAGAGACATCTCAGGAGACATCTAGTGCTACCTTGTCTGCTCCTGGGTCTCTTAAACTGAGACTAGTCAGATGGCATCTGGGGAACAAAGGGAGGGGGAGAGCTTACTACACATAAATAATACAAACCCCAAAGGCTTTACTCACCAGCCCATGATCTGGCCTGGCACTAAGCCGTGCGAGCGTGGAAGGCATGGTAGAATGTACACACACACACACACACACACACACACACACACACACACACACCCTAACCTTGCTATCCCAAGCACTTGTCTAGAGCGCCCAGAAGAGGAAGGTGGGGTGGTCGGGTGACCCCCATCTGGCTCGCCTCGCCCCCAGGGACAGCTCCCCTGAGCCAGCGCCCGGTGGCGGCCACCTCCCTCCTACTGGAGCCGGGTTTTCTTCTGTTCTGTTTGCACAGAGCCATCTCTAAGCTTCAAAAACCGGGCTAAGGCTCTCCTCTGCTTCCCGAGACTAGAGCGAGCGAAGGGCAGCGAAGGGCCAGACAGCTCACCCTTGGTCGAAGCTCACCCTTGTGCAAGCTCACCCTCTGGGGAGCAGATCTGCCCTCCCCCACATCTCGCACACCTTCCAGTCGCCTCCTCATCACAAGCCTCAGGCAATCCCTGACTGACTGTCACCTCTACCTCCAGCATCCTCCCCTCAGCGCCTCTCGGTTCGGGCAGCCCAGTTTTCCAGAACTTCCGCACTCCCGCCCTGGTGCCGCCCGGCCCGAGACACCAGCCGCGCTGCGCGTCGTCTCAGACTCCCCTCGGGCTCTTCCCGCTTCCGGGTCCCCGACCGCTCCGAGACGCCCCCTGCCCCTGTGCTCCCAACCCCGGGACCCCGCGGGCGCGCACGGTCCCCCTCCGCGCCGGCCACCTCAGGGGCTCCCCGCCCCCACCCGCACCCGCCCGCCCGGGGGTCCCGGTGCCGCAGCCCGCGGCGCCTCGCGCGTCCCGGTGGGTGACGCTCCGGGCGGCGGGACAGCCGCGCCACTTCCTCCCTCAGTCCCCTCCGCGCCCCGGGGAGGAGGGGCCGCCGCCTCACGCCTCACGCCGCCGGCACCGGGGCGACTTCCCGGGACTCCCCGGGGTCGGGCGGCGCTTCCCGCTCGGCTCGGCCGCGCGCGCCGCCCGCCCGCTCCCCCAGTCACCCCACCCTCAGCTGTCCCCGCCACCTTACTCCTGCGCCCTCCCCCGCCCCGCCGCTCGGCGCACACTCGGCGGCGGGGCCTCCAGCTCCGCGCTCCCGAGAAGCAGCCGCTCACTTGCCAGCCCTCCCTCCCTTCGCCCCCTCCGGGAAGAAGAAGAAATAAGAAGCAGAAGAAACATTTCCCGGGGCGGGCGGGCGGGCGGGCGGGCGGGCGGGCGCACTCCTCAGCCCTCCACCCCCCCCCCGCGGCCCTCCCCTCCCCCTGCTTCCTTCCTTGGGGGAGGGGGGCTGTCGCCTGGGACTGAAGGCCATTGATTTGTATGTATTTGTCCCGGCGCCCGAGGCTGCCCCAGCCGCCCGCGCCGGAGCCGCCGCTGCCCGTGGAGTTGCCTCCCCGCTCCCCTAGGGTGGTTCGGCTCCACCAAACATGTCGGCTCCGGTCGGGCCCCGGGGCCGCCCGGCTCCCACCCCGCCGGCGGCCTCTCAGCCTCCTCCTCCTCCGCAGCCCGAGATGCCGGACCTCAGCCACCTCACGGAGGAGGAGAGGAAGATCATCCTGGCCGTCATGGATCGCCAGAAGAAAGAAGAGGAGAAGGAGCAGTCCGTGCTCAAGTAAGGACCGTGGGCTCCATCTTCCCGCCCGCCCGCCCGCCCGTCTCCCTGCCCTCCGCCCCCCGGGCCGCTCGCCCGGCATCGCCCGGCATCGCCCGGCATCGCCGCCTCTCCGTCCCCGCCGCCGGCGCCCGGTGTCGCCGGGGCCCGCGAGGGCTGCGGCCCGCGGCCGCCGGGGTGGCTTTCCCAGTTGTCAGAGCCCCGCGCTGCGCGGGGGTGTGTGTCGCGGAGGGAGGGAGAGAGGGAGGGAGGGAGGGAGGGAGGGCTCCGAGGCCGGCCGCGGCGACGGCGCCGAGCCCGGGGAGGCGTCCTTCTCCCCCGCCCCCGGCGCCCTTCCCGGCCGCTCGGGCTCCGCGGCTCAGGCCGAACCCAGCTCCTCGCGTCCCCGTCCCTTCCCCGCCGCCCCCGCGCCGAGCAGACCCGTGGCGAGCCGGTGACGGGGGCACCGGATCCAATATGGCCGTGCACAGGTGCTCCCGGGCCGGACCCGGTGCAGGCGCCCAGGCCCGGGTGCGAGCGTCGCCGCCGCCGCCACGGACCCTCGTCCCGCGCCCGCCGGGCCCGGCTGTGTCCGTCCCCAGCTCCCCGGGGACCAATGGGCTGCCCAGCAGCCGGCGGCGGGCGGGGAGGCGGCGGCGCGGGCGAGGGGCCTAAGCGCGGTCGGTGGCGTCTCGGGTGGGTGTGCGGCCGTCGCCATCTTCCGGCCTCTCCTCCTCCCCCTCCCCCGGCGGGTGCGAGCACCCCGCTCCCCGTTTGCAACTCGTGAATCTGGGCGATCCCGGGGAGGCTCGGCTTCCCGCCGCCGCCGCCGCAGCCCGGGTCGCTCCCCGGCTGGCTGGGGAAGTTGTACTATGTTTGCTCGCAGCCCGGCCCGCCCGGGTGGTGCCGAGCGAGAGCCAGGGTGGGAGGCGTGAAGGCGGCCGCCAGACAGCGGCTTAGAGGCGGGCGGTGCGGCTTCAGCACCACGGAACTGTCCACACCGAGCCGCCCGCCGCTGTCACTGCCAGGGCGGCCAGCCTGGCCGAGATTGGTTTCCACAGGTTTGCTCGTAAATGTTTGATGCTTTTTGGATATCTCAGTTACTCTGGGGAAGTCATTGCCCAGGCGTGGAACCTTTGAATGTTCATCCAAGCCAGCTTTTGCTCGAGACAGTTATTCACTATAGAAGTTAAACCAGCATGTGCCTTAAGAGCAAGAGTTCTGCAAGTCACCAAATACACCTTCCCATCATCTCCATAGGAACACAACCATTAAAAGTGTAGACTTCCTCTGTGGGAAGAAATAGCATACTGGCCTCCAGCCACCTAGTTCGAAAACAGGTTGTTGAATTCAGTTCCCTTCCACATATGAAAACACACTTTGTCTACGTGTACATTTTTTCATATTTAATTGAGAAATACTTTACATAGCCTATGGTAACAAACTTGTATCAAGTAGGCATGTATGTTAGGAAAACATGCAATTTCTCACAAAATAATGAAGAAATAAGAGCAAATGTATTCCTGACATGTCCACTGAAGTTAAATCAAGAATTGCTTCTTCAAAACTAGTGTTTAGGTTTGAATACTTACTAGGGAATTAGTCAGCTTAAACTATGAAATAATGAACATAGTTTTAGATAGTGTTTTGAACATACTGGTAACTTAGCTCTAATGTATATGCTAATAGTGCTAAACTTTTGATCATGATAATTTTATATTCAGATATGTGGATATATATTTCTTAATATAGTTGTTAAAAATTACTATTGCCAAAATGATGCTGAAATAAAGTACGGCTTTATTTCTTTGACCCACATATTTAAATGGAAATGGGTTTTTATTTATAGTAAATTAAATCAGTGTTTATTGCCTAGTAAATCTTACATAGTTCTATATTTACTGTTTCAATATATGGACTTTGATAGGATGTTTGATTGCTGAATTAAAAATTGTTCAACAAACAGAGTATTTTATTGGATAGGTGTTATTAATAGGTTTTCAGGTCAACTGTATGTGTGCACACCTCCAAGTAAACCTACATACTTTGTAAACACATATTTTTGTCCATTTATTTCACATTATTTAGGTAGGCACATTCCCTAAGCATATCCATATAATATGTGAAATCACATCAGTGAAAAATATAGATTCATATTTAAGTACTTATGTAATAGTTTTAAATGTTTTAAAAAATACTTTTGAAATGAGATTAGACAAGGAAACTGAGAATACATTTTATAAAAGAATTACTATAGTGAGAGGCAAATCATTTAGAAAAATTGGACCACTTATTAAATAATATGTTCCTGGCCTTGGGTGCTAAGTAACAAATGTGCTATGTAGGGAAAAATAATGCCCATAGTTGTGACTACTCTTTCCCTTGAAATTTTAGGGCCATTTATCAGCTCATGGATAAACAGTCTTTTATGTCTTGGTAGTGCTATCATTTAATTGCATGCCAGCATCTTTTCTGAGAGAAGGTCATAGGCACAGAGAAGTAAACCAAAATTCAAATATATATCTGATACTTTAAAACAATTATGTTAATAAATGTGATGTTGAAAACTAGATAAAAATACTCTGTGTGATCTTTGAGTTTCAGTATTTATACTAAGCATTATGCAAAATAAGATGCTTATACCCAAGGGTATTACTAGACTATGTGCTGGAATACAAGAAGAACATTTTAAAACTTATGGTCCTATCTTTGTTTACAAACAAACAAACACAAAGACAAAGCCTCATTAGTTCTTAGTATAGATTAGCTAATAATAAATGCATACATTAAAAGTTCATGCCTGAGGTGTTTTCAATAAGGTGAGCCATCAAAACAGGTTGAGGCCACTACAGTAATTCCCTTTTTAGGAGCCTGAACAATTAAAAATGAGAGTCATACTTCATTATTAGTTCTTCAAGGCCCAGCTATACGTACACATACATCAGAAGCCTTTTGTCTATCAAATTGTGCTGAGTTACATGTGAGTGAGCTACTGTCATTTCCCAAGCGATTTTACATCCCACTGATTAATTACTAATACAAAACTAAACAAAAGCCATTACCTGAATTTCTTCAGCAGTTTCAGTTTTAAGTCTTGGGGAGTCACTATTTTGTTGTTTTGTTTTATAGCATCCTTAACAGAGATGGGTACCTAGTAAGTAATGTTGAGCTGAATTAAAGTGCAGATGGGGCATTCATTCTGGGGAAAATGAGGAATTGCTTTTTGAAAGAAAAACTGTTTAGTGAATGTTGTATTTCTGTTGTCTTTGTTTTTATTTTTTTGTGATTTTATTTATTTATTTGGGAAAAAAAAACTATCAAGAAGGCAGAGCCACTTGATATTCAAATAGAAAAGTATTCAGTAATTGTCTTGATGTTTGTTATGTCCCTAGCATAGTCTTTTATACAAAGTGATTTGAACACAGAAATGATTTTCTCCTTTCTTCCCTTTCTCCCTCCTTTTCCCCCTTTTTTGACCTCCTCCTCCCTTCTTTTTTCACCCATTGAATAGTGTCTTTCTGTGTAACCCAGGTTGGCCTTAAACTCACAATCCTTCTGCCTCTGCCTTCCCAATCCCAAGTGCTAGGATTATAGGCATTTATGTTATCACACCTAGCTATTTATGTTTTTTTTAGGAGAAGTATATTAGATTATGTCTTCATTTTTAGCATTGATTTTTCTATTAATGTTAAAAGGACAACTTACTCCACAAATAAAGAAAATAAAGCAAATTCATGATAGATATATTAACAAGTACATATTATATATATATATGTATGTATGAGTAGTTCTAATGTTTTATTTATTTAGTTTATTTATGTTTGAGACAGGATGTCACTTTGTAGCCCTGGCTTGTTTGGAACTCGCTCTATAGACCAGGCTGGCCACAAACTCAGAGATCCACCTGCCTCCGCTACCCAAGTGCTGGGACAGAGTCTCTCTATATAGCCCTAGTTGTCCTGGAACTCACTAAGTAGACCAGGGTGGCCTCAAACTCATACAGATCTGCCTGCCTCTGCCTCTCAAGGGTTGGTATCATTGGCATGTGAACCATCACACCCAGCTTAAATTTTTTAATGATACTGTTTTATAAGTAGTTTTTAAAGTTAATTTATTTACATAATATATACTTTGGCCATAAAATATCTTATTTACCTATTTATTTACCCATGTGCAATTATTGTTATGAGCATATTTATTCTATGCACAATAAGATATAGGCACAAGAGATATATGTGTATATAAGTTCATATATTTATATGTGTGCTTACACACATACACACATATCTATATCTATATATATACATATACATACATACACATTTTTTTGTTTGTTTTTTGAGACAGGGTTTCCCTGTGTAGTCCTGGCTGTCCTGAAACTTACTACCAGGATGGTCTTGAACTCACAGAGATCCTCCTGCCTCTGCCTCCAAAGTGCTGGGATTAAAGGCCTATGCCACCATCCCGTATATATACATGTTTGCATGCAAACATACAAGTACAGGTATGTCCTGCATTTTGCTTTTTAGGAAATTATTTTCACATTTGGTTCAGTGCCAGTATCTATCCTGTTTGCTGAATGATTTGTAATTTCCTTAACTCATGCCATACTTTTTAAGTTGTTTCTGCTTTGCCACTAGACGCAGTACTTTGATACATTGTTTTTAATGTATAGGACTGTATCTCTGGCATAAATTCTTAGAAATAAAAACTGTTCTTTTAAAGAGTCAGTAAACTTTATAATACCTCCAAATTTATTTTCATAGGGGAAGTATGTAAATTTCATACACACTGAGGAGATTTTTTCTACTTCCTTGCCAAATCAGTGTGTGGTAAGCTTGGTCAGAATTTCAGTAATAAATATGTCATTGTAGATTTAACTTGCAGTTTTCTTATTACCAATGAGAGTGAGAGCCTCTTCCATTTATTTAGGATCATTTATATTTCCTTTAGTGTTGGTAATTCTTAGTGTGTTGTTGAAGCTCTTTATATATTTGTTGGGTTAGCACCTTATTCATCAT